TCTTATCTTTGCTCCTCTACAGGTAAGGTATTTTTTCCTCTGGCTTCTTTTAAGATTTTTTTTCTTTACCTTTTATTTTCTGCATTTTGAATATAATATGCCTAGGTGTCGTTTTTTGGCATTTACCCTGCTTGGTGTCCTGGATCTGTGGTTTGGTGTCTGACATTAATTTGAGGAAATTCTCAGTCATTGTTGCTTCAAATATTTCATCTGTTCCTTTCTCTTTTTTTTCTCCTTCTGGTATTCCCATTATGTGTATATTATACCTTTTGTAGTTGTCCCACAGTTCATGGAGATTCTGTTCTATTTTTACCATTCTTTTTTCTCTTTACTTTGCAATTTTGGAAGTTTCTATTGAGACATCCTCAAGCTCAGCAATTCTTTCCTCAGCTGTGCCCAGTCTACTAATGAACCCATCAATGACATTTTTCATTTGTTACAGTGTTTTATCTCCAGCATTTTCTGATTCATTCTTAGAACTTTATCTCTCTGCTTACATTGCCCATCTGCTCTTGCACACTGTCTGCTTCATCTGTAAAGCCCTTAGCATATTAGTCATAGTTGTTGTAAATTCCCAGTCTGATAATTCCAGCATCCTTGCTATCTCTGAGTCTCGTTCTGATGCCTGTTCTGTCTCTTCAAGCTGTGTTTGGTGGGCTTTTTTTTTTTTTTTGCCTTTTAGTATGTTTTGTAATTTCTTATTGATGGCTGGACGTGATGTACTGGGTAAAAGGAACGGTAGTAAATGGGCCTTTAGTAATGGAGGGTAAAGTGCGTGGGGAGGGAAGCATTCTACAGTCCTATGATTACGCCCCATCTTTCAGTGAGCCTGCGCCTCCCAACTGTGAAATTCACAGGTGCTTTTCAGCCCCTCCTCCTTAGGTGGGACAGGATGGCTAGAGAGGGCTGGAGTTGGGTATTGCCCTTCTCCATGTTGGTTCGGCTTTGGAAAATCCCTAATAGTTTAGGCTCTGATAAAATAGTTTCTCTTGAGGGTAAGCCTTGATAAGAACAGAATGGTCTGGTGTATTTCAAAATTATCCCTTTTCCTTTAGCCATGCAGGAAGAAGGAGGGGACCTTCTCCAATGTTCACTAAGAGAACCTAGTTGAGTTTCTGGAGGTAAAACTCACAATGGTGGGGACACCCCTCAATGACTGAGTCCCCCTGGAGTTTTTAACTCTCAGACGTGTCCACACTGAGCCTCCAGCAGTTTGTCAATTACAATTTAGGTTTTCCTACCCCAGGGCGGGTTTCCATGGAGGTTTCTGCTCCTGGTCTCTGCTCTGGTCAGTTGTGACTCTATTTACTTGCTTGTCTGTCTCTCCAGATTTTGCCAGTGGTGGTTTGCCCCGAGACCTCACTTCTCTGACGGATCTCGGAAGCATTGTTGCCTTTTCAATTTGTTCAGCTTTTTGCTTGTTGTTAGGACCAAGAGGCAACTTCCAAGCTCCTTGCATGCTGGACCAGAAACTAAAAGTCTCATGTGGAATTTTGCCTTAGCCTCCTGACCGGTTTCCCTCTTCTGCCCTTGCCCACAACACAGCAGCTCAAATGAGACTTTAAAATGTCAATTAGATTCCGTTCCTTTCCTGCTCAAAACCCTCCAGTGGCTCTTCGTCTCACTCTGAGTAAAAGCCAAAGTAGTGGGCCTACTGGGCCCTGTACGTCTGCCTCATCTCCAATACTCTGCCCTGATCACCATCTTCTGTCTGACCACAAGATCTCCTCCAGCCATCCTGGCTGCCTTGGTGTTCCTTGAACTTTCAAGGTTGCTCTTACCACTGGGCCTTTGCACTTGCTGTTCCCTCTGCCTGGAATAGTCTTCCTCCAAACATTTGCATAGCCCAGTCCTTCCCTTTTTTTAGCTCTTGGTTCAAATGTCACCATCACAGTAAGGCATTCCCTGATCACCCTATAGACTATAGGAACTCTTCCCAAATCAGCCCACTGGCTTCTTTCCCTGTTTTATTTTCTCCATAGCATTTATCACTATCTGATATACCATATATTTCACTTTTTTTGTTTGTTTCTTTGTTTACTTTCTTCTCCCACTAGAATGCAAAGCCCATGAGGGCAGGGGTTTTTAATCTGTGCTGTCCACTATCGTATCATCAGTGTCTAAAGTAATACCCGGCATACAATAAGTCCTCGATGAATATTTGTCAAATGGATTATTATCATACTCACATAGATGAGGCAAGGGACGCGGCTAGAGTTCAAATTCAGGTCTTCCTGACTCAAAGCTCGTGTTCTGAACGACTCTGTTACAATGCCATTCAATTCTGTGTAGAATATTGAATATCTGATGCATTCTTCCAAATGGCTATTTCCTAAATTCCTGGCAGTTTTCTATTTCGTAGATCTCACTGGAGTTGATTTTTCTGAGTTGGTGAGAACGCTCTATGAACTGCATCCTAATATTTCCTCGAGATCATTGCATTGCAAAATAGGCTGAAGTCAGAGTCCTCGCTGCCTTACCTGCAGGCCCCCCTCTCTTTCATCTCGCTTCACTACACCTGTCTGCCAGCGAAGGCCAGAACAGCATTGCCTCCGGCCAAACGCACTCTCAGGTTAAGTAGTCGCTATCATGCGATCTGCGAAATAAACTATAAAACCCAAACACACCACTGATTGTCCCTCAACTTTGCATGTTTTACGGCTTTTCAATGCCTTCAAATACATTATCTATTTGATGCTTATAATGATGCTCGAGAGATCATTGCTTACCCCTCTGCTGAGATGAAAACACGGGTCACAATTGTGCTGGGACTAGAACTCGGGTCTTCTGACCCCAAAAGCCCAATTCCTCCTCAAACCAAGCTCCCGTCAGCTGATTGCAGTCCTGTTTATCCCCAGCTTTACTCTAAAGTTCTGCCGACGTTCATTCGCACCCAGCACCTGGAATCTTGGTGGTTGAAATGAATTGCGTAGGCAGGGTGAGACCGGCAGTGTTTTGGTCTCGTGTCGTTTTTAGCTGCCCAACATCCTACTCCCTTCTTTTGGTAACAGCTGCAAATTTCAGGTTTGGACAATTACCTCTGCTCCCCGGTTGCAGTCTTAGTTGGGCTGTCTCTCAAGGCGGCAAAGGAGAGGACATTTTACTCAAGCCAAGCCAATCAGATTCAAAGAACTGGGGTCTTAACCAGAATGGCAGAAGGACAAAATGAAGGTGTGCAAGAAGCAGTGTCCTCAGGTGGTTGCTTAGCTCCCATTGCAGGATGTCGTGGCTGTCATTGTTCCCAACTCTTCCAGCCTCATTCTCAGCAGTCTCTTGATTCTGTGAGCTGGTCCTGTCCTCCCGATATATCCCTTGCTTAGGTTAGCCAAAGTTTGTTTCCGTTGCTTGCAACCACAGGATCCTGCCTGGAGTAGGGAAGAATTATGGGACGGCCGGTGTCCTTCAGCAAGGCTGGACTCTTCTTCAAGATAAGCTGGGGTGAGTGAGTGCGCTGTGGTGTTCTCCTAGGTCGTGGATCAGTGTGTGCCGGCCTGCTGGCTTCTCACCTGGGACCTCAGGCCCTGGCATGGGTGTGGGACCTGGCAAGGCCCTCAAGCAAATGAAGGGCCAGGTTGAGGAGGATGTGAGTAGAATAGGGCTTTCGGGTACTCCTTAAGGACTTGGAGGAGAGAACAAGGAGGTTCAGGGGGTCTTAACAGAGCTGCAGGAGTTGTCTGGGCAGGAAGAATGAGACCCAAACTTGGAAAACAAGTTTTGCTTTGCTGAGAAAGTTTTGTGAAGGCCATGGCTCCCGTGTCACGTTCAAGGCCCCAATTCTCATATTCTAGATAAATGGAAAAATTATTCAGCAATGATGATGGAATGGGGAGTGGTGCTGGTACATTAAAGGGGGATTCATGGCTGCGATCCCCAACACGCAGAGAACAGAGACTTGTCTCCCGGGCGCCCCCTCCCCACTGCTGGTTGTGACACCCACCACCCACCTTCTCTGCCGTGGACAAAGTTCACTGCGTTTCCCTTGTTCACTCTCACGGGTCCGGTGTAAGTCACTCAGTTGTCCCTTCCAGGCCCTCCTTGCTATTTGGCAGGAATCCACGTGCTCTGAGAGCCCAGGCAGGCCAGGCATGGTGGCCGGCACGTTCCCGTAGGGCGTACAGGTTCTCACAGCAACTTTGTGAGGTAGGACTATTATCCCGGCTTGTAGATGAGGAAACTGAGCCACTGAGAGGTTAAACAACTTGTCTAAACTAGGTGACATAACTAATAAGTGTCAGAGCCTGCCCTGGACTGGGATTTGGCCAGTTCCAAAGCTTTTCAGGAGTCCTGCAGCTCAGCCCTAACCTGGCTGCTTTCCAGCTCTGTGACGCTTAGGTCCTGTTCAATTATCAGTAAAATAATGGTAGAGGTTGGAGGTGGAGCTGGGTTCCCATCCTGTGCTGACTTTAGTCGGTCGGTTGGTGGCCGTCAGAAGGGCCGTGCTGAGGAATATTCAGAGGTCATGCTAAGTTCATTATGAAAGAGTTCTGTGATCAATTGGTGATGTCTGAGTGAGGAGAGACGGTATGTAGGTCACTGTTAGCTATCCCTGGCCTAAGTGATCGTGACGGAATGTTGGTTGTTAAATGTTACGAGTCCTTGATTTAAACATCCTGAACTTTTAATATATAACCCATCCTGCCCATAGTCTTTCCTGTCCTCTTCCTGTTTTTCCTCTGGATACGTCCTCTCAGTTTTCTACAACTGTCCAAAACTCATCGTCTTAGATTCATTGACTCAATTGCTAGAGGATCTCCTCCACCCAAGCTAGGACACATAAATATATCTGTTACCTATTGCTGTGTAGCCAACCATGCCAAAGCTTAACGGCTTAAAACAAAAGTGATTTATTTCTCACGATTCAGTGGCCTCACTGGGTAGCTCTGCCCCACGTGTTGTTGGCTGGGGTCACTCCTGTGCCCACATTCAGTTGAGAACTTGACTGGGGCACCTCGGTTCTCCACAGGTGGCCTTGTGCATCTCCGTGTGGTCTCTTTCTCCAGCAGGATAGCCTGGATCTTCTTCCCACGTGGCAGCTGGGTCCCAGGAAGGACATTCTGAGAGATCAAGCCCTGATGTATACGCACTTCTCAAGCCTCTGCTTGAGTCGCACTTGCCGATGACTAAGGCCCTGGGTAAGTACAGAGTCGGCGTGGCATTCCAGGGGAAGGTAATACACAGGGGCTGAAATACCAGGAGATACGGGTCTTTGGAAGCTGCCCACGTAACGATCTATCATAATAAGCAGTTCCAAATATTCTCAAGAATTCCTACGATGCGTTCAAGTGATCATGAAGCACTTATTGATGAACTAGGTGCTAAGTTATAAGACAGGGCCCTGAGTTTGTGGCATTTCCAGTTCAGTAGCTACATAAAACAGACTCTGCAAGAGAAAGCAATAGAAGCTGGTGGGAGTGGATTCCAACATACAGTCGTATGTTCCAAAATTTTACTGTGGACCAATTGCTTGGAATATTTTTTACATAAACAAAATGGCTGGGCCACAAAACCTGTTTACCCCGTAATATAGATAAATTGTCATAGGGTGTCCTAAACTTCACACATTTGTGCATCAGGTTTATGGTTTCTCCCATCGACATGTTCACTGGAACAGTTACTTAACATTTTCCTTTGATTCAATTTACTTTTAAGACTTTTTATTTTTAAATAAAATTTTATATCACTGCTGTAAAAGCAAAATCAGTGTCATTTGCCACAAATATGAGTAATATAAATAAATAACATATTAATATAAATAGATGTAAATTCAGCTAAAATGAAAAATAGTGAGCACAGCGAATGCCGGCAAGGACGTGGAGAAACTGGATCACTTATACATTGCTGGGGCAAATGTGCAATGGTAGAGGCACTCTGGAAGGCAGTTGGCCAGTTCCTCTCAACACTGAAAATGGACTTATTGTACAACCCAGCAATTACATTCTTGGGCACTTATTGCAGGAAAAAGGAAGACATTTTTATGCAGGAATTTGAAATTTGCATGTGAATATTCATAGCAACTTTATTTGTAATAGCCAAAAGCTGGAAACTACCCACATGTCCTTCAATAGGTTAAACTATTTGTGGTACGTCCATACCATGGAATACTACTCAGCAGTAAAAAGGAATGAATTGATAGGCACAACTTGGATGAGCCTGATGGAAATTATGCTGAGTAAAAACACCAATCCCAAAAGGTTATGCCCTGTATGATTCCATTGATATAACATTTTTGAAAAGACAATTTTTTTTTTTTTGGTGAGGAAGATTGGCCTTGAGTTAACATCTGTGCCAATCTTCCTCTATTTTGTATGTGGGGCACAGTCACAGCATGGCTTGACAAGCAGTGTTAGGTCCAAGCTTGGGGTCTGAACCTGTGAACCCCGGGCTGCCAAAGCAGAGTGCAAGAAATTAACTGCTACCACTGGGCCAGCCCTTGAAAAGAGAAAATTTTGAAAATGGAGAACAGAGTTGAAGGATGGGGGAGAGAGTGTGCCTGTGGCTATAGAGAGGGAACATAAGAGAGGCTTGAGGTGATATGGCAGTTAAGTATCTGGATTGTGGTGGTAGTTATACAAGGCTGTACACACTGATAAAATTGCATAGAACTATACGCACACACACGAGTACATGTAAAACTGGTGGAATCTGAATAAACTCTATGGATGGTACCAATACTAATTTTTTGGTGTTAATATGATGCTATTGTTGTGTAAGATGTGAAGATTGGGGAAGATTAGGAGTAGGGGATATGGAACGTCCCTCTCCATTTTCTTGCAACCTCCTGTAAATCTAATATTATTTCAAAGCAAAAAGTAAAAAAAAAAAAAAAAAAAAAAAATTTAACTCAGAACAATTAAAATAAAATACGTTTGTCAGTATACTACCTAAAATACCTAAACTCACTTCAAATATCACCAGTGGTGCCTGGACCCCACAGCGGGAGATTCCGACCTGTGGGAGTAAGAGAGCTAATCTAGGTTAAGGAACGAGGGTAGGACACTACACAGGATTGGAGAGGGGAACAGCGATAAGCACTTAGTGCTTACTGTGTGTCAGGCACTATTCCAAACTCTTTTCAGATGCTAATTCATTGAAGTTTCATAACGACTCTGTGTGGAAATGTTGGTTCCCCGGGAACTGGATGTGGAGGCAGAGTTCTGCATGCGGGAAGTGGAGATGCTCTTCAGGGACACCTGTGTGGTGGGAGGGACACCAGCCTGAGCAGAGGGAGTTGAGCGTTGAGCGGTTACAACAGAGGTCGCAGCAGAGCCAACGGGGGGCTCTGGAGCAAGGGCGGCCTTCAGAGTTGTCCCAAGTAAAGCAAGGCGGCTGAATTACTTTGCCTCCTCATCAGCAAGTCCGTGGATGCAGGCTGCCCCAGGGAGAGGCAGAAGCTTGGGCTGAGCAGCTTCCTCTGACTGAGGACCATGTCTGGAGAGGAACTGAGCTGCGAGCTGTTAGCAACCAACACTTCTAGAAGCTGGGGGAATGAAAGCCTCAGCCCTGGGGAGGGGAAGGGGCATGTGCACAGCACACCAGTGTCCACTACAGTCCACCCCTTGTGCTCAGATCCATTTGCTTAATATAGTAAGTTTGCCTCCTCTGGAAGGTTCTCCAGGATTCTTTTGCTGGGGAAACACGGAAGAGGGAGGTGGTACGACAGACAGCTGCCCCAACTCCAGGCTACCACTTATGCTCATTGCTACCTCCTCTCTACACATTCTGGATTCCCCTCACTCTTGGTTTGCACCTCAGCTGGTTAGGCAGCTTGTTTAGCCTCAGGCTGTGGTTGCTGCGTTTGTCCATGTACCGTCAATATTGGACAGAGAGTTTGAAGAGATGCCCCAGTGGATCATCTGCTGTCAAATATCTTCTTTGTTCTCATTTGATAACAGCAGTCCTACCTCCTCCTGGTGACCAGGGTCAATTGCCCCAGCCAGGATGATGACTCCTTTCCTTGCCTGCTGGTCTCTTGGCACAAGACACTTGAAGACATCATGTATGTTGAAGTGGAAGTTGGATCACTGTATCCCTCAGAGAAGGAAGCTTCTAGGAACCAAGACCCCTAGGCTCCTAGAGCTGAGGTCACTGGGATGAATGATAAGCAGAGCCACACCTGCTTCCACCCCTTGGTCCCCAGACCTACTTGGTTCACAGCACCATATAATGGTCATTGATTTAGGGTCTAAATGATGTCCTGGAGGATGGCGTCCATCTTCACAGGGCATTACCTTCAAGCTAGTACTTTGGCTGTACTTTCAAAAGACCATTCATTCCATCACTCTGTGTGGTCAGCAGCTTCTGGGTGGTACACATGTCATAGACCACTGGATCTCATGATCTTATGTCCACAGTCACACCTCCCTTATGCGTCCCTTGGTCTCATGCAACATCATGCGAGATTCTGTTCCAGTGTATCACTCTGTAAGCTCTCAGCTCATGGTGTTAGTTGAGGCCTTGTAGTCAGGAAAGACAAATTCACGCCTGGAATGTACTTTAAGTCCAGTCCACTCCGCCTGCCAGAGTGGAGGGGTTACAGTGTAATCGATTTTCCATCAAGTTCTGGTTGCTCTCCTAGAAGGATGGTGCCATGTAAGTGCTCAGGGTTGGTCTCCGTTGCTGGTAGGTTGACATTTGGCAGCCGCGGTAGCTAGATCAGCCTTGCCGAGTGGGAGCTCATGCTGTTGGGCCTGTGCACAGCTTCTACTCCTGCCACTTTAGCTACTTTGCTCCTAAGCTGTTATGGCAGTGTTGGGGGGTGGCTGATGATAGAGGCTAGCTGACATCGACTCCCTGCGAAATTGTGTCCACTTGATTGTTTAGTGTCTCATCCATGTGGATGCCCTTTGATGGGTGTTAACGTGCAGTAAGATCTTCACACTTCATGAGCAGTCCCATAGTTTCATCCACCTACCTCTTTCCCAGATCACCTCGTCCTTAGTGTTCCAGTCTTTCTCCTTCGAGACCCTCGGGCCAACCGATCAAGCCAATGACCTCTGCCCATGAGTCTATGTATATTCTAATCTCAGGCCACTTTTCTCTGCACACAAGGTGGTTGACCAGGTGCATCGTTTAAAGCTCTGCACATTGAAGGATTTCCTTTCATTGCTACCTTTCAGGACCCCCACCTCCCCCGACCCCTCACTGAGTGGGGCTATAGTGCAGCCACAGTCCCTTTTTAGTTTGCACCCACATCCTGAGCTGACCCTTCCGTCAACCAAGTTCAGCCTTTTGCCTTCCTCATTGTCTGGCCATAAAGGATTCCCCGTGTGGCCAAAGGTGTGAACTGAGGGAGAGGCACTGGTGCAAAAGTAGTGGATGCTATGGGGGTCTGAGCCCCCTGCCCACGCAGCTTCCTTGGACCCTCATGCCCTGCTCGGGCTTGTTTCTGCCTATACTGCTTCCATCTTACGATGGAGAGCTCTGAGCCCGTGCGACTTTATGACTTGGTGAGTTTGACAGAACCCTGCTTGTGACGGGCAGCTCCGGCCGCACAGTCACTTAGCGGCCCGTAATCAGGTGCTCTGTGTGTACCGGGACTCGGTGGAACACAGGTTCTTGGTTTTTGAATGGGCTATGCGATCCTCTGTTTTAGAAGTTGCGGCCTGGCTCCAGAATCCTAGGGATCTGTGCTGTGGCTCTTCCTGGAGCTTGCCGTGAACTCCATAGCGTCTCTTCCCACCATTGATGCCTCTAATACCAGAAGGTCACCTGCACCGCAGCCTGCACCTGCCACAGGGTCTTTCCTTGCTCTGGGCCCCTCTGAAAGCTGACAGTCTTATTTGTCACTAAGTAAATGGGTTGTGACAATATCCTCAAGTGTGACAATATCCTCAAGTGTGACAATATCCTCAAGTGTGACAATATCCTCAGGTGTGGAACATGCTGTCTCCAGCACCTGAAAAGCTCTACCGCGTTGTGATAGGCAGCCTGTAAGGTGGTCCCAGCGATTCTTGTCCCCTGGCACTCACTGTCTCGTGTATTCTCTCTTTGAGCGGGGACTGGACCGGTGGTTTGCTTCTAATGAACAAAAAATGGCTGATGTGATGGGAGGGTCCAAAAAAGACTATGGCTTCTGACTTGGGAGACCCTGGGGTACGTCCTCTCCCTCTGTTCCATCACCAGCTGCTGTGCT